TGCTGGATTTAATCTTTCTACAATGTATATTCATAGATCAAAATATTACATTGTACCCCATAAATATACACAATTGCCAATTAAAAATAAATATAAACAAATAATATATGTATATTTAAAATTATATGTATATTAAAAATAAATAAACATATATATTTTAAAAATAAATAAAATGTAAAAAGAAAATCCTGAAGTTTACTAACTATGGCAAATAACTTTTAGAAGAAGAGGCCACGAAAGGTTTAAGAAAAGATTCTTCAGCTACGGTTTTCTATTTCCTTATTTTCAATTCCACTCTAACAAGAACCTTAAACTAGGGTAGTTCAGACTTCGTTAAAAATTACCTCAACTAAAAATAAAAATTAAATGGACAGAAAAGTAGTCTACCTTTTGCAGATAAACTATGAATTCATACCAATAAATATTCACCAAGTATTTCTGATGTAAAAGAAAGAACTCAAGAGAAAGCCAGGTTAGCAACAGACTATCCCCTAAGAAAAAATTGTATGTTTGTTGATTTCAGTGTGTGGACAAGCCAAAGAGTCCTACCTTCTGGCTACATGAAACATCATATTCAGGCCAGGTGCAGTGGCTCATAGCTGTAATTCCAGCACTTAGGCCAAGGAGGTGGATCACTTGAGGTCAGGAGTTCAAGCCCAGCTTGGCCAACATGGTGAAGCTCCATCTCCACTAAAAAGTACGAAAATTAGCTGGCTGTGATGGTGCATGCTTGTAGTCCCAGCTACTTGGGAGGCTGAGGCAGGAGACTTGCTCGAATCTGAAAGAGGTTGCAAGTGAGCCGAGATCACACCACTGCACTACAGCCTGGGTAACATAGACTCCATCTTAAAAAAGTCATGTTCAAAAAAGCATTTTGGCCACATTAGGAATAATAACCACATACTTACTTTAGTTTTTCATAAGTCCTTGTTTCTGTTTATAAACTGGGAAATGGGGTACAGTTAAAAACTAATGAAGCTGTTTGTAAAACCACTGCAAATACGAGAGATTACAACTTGGCATTTCAGACGGGTTTATCTTTGTCCTGGAACATAAGAACCATACACAATACATTTAAAAGCTAAATAAAAACAAAAATTTGTCTTAAGATATTTCAAAATAAAGTTTTGAGAAAATGTATAAATATGTAGAAGTTGCCAAAATTAAAGCATACTTCTAGTCTAACTTTTCAATACATTATTCCTAAAATGAGACAGAATGCTCAGTATTAACTGAGTATGCTTCAGAAAAGCTTCAGATATGTCACGGCAAGGCCATATATATGCAATTTCTTATGGTCAGGAGGCAATCTCTGCCTCTACAAAAGCAATGTAACCAACTAGTAGGAAACCTTAAACTATATGAAATATAGTCCGAATCTTTCATCCCAAAATCTTCCAGAGAAATATATAAGCAAAAACTGTAGTTCACTTCAGAACTCTAAACTTTAATACTAAAAAGTATTTTCAAAAGGAGTATCAATAAAGCAAATCGGTTTTATTCACTAGACATCAACAGTATAGAAAGGCATACAACAGTTTCTGATCTTACGTTAACTCTCTTTAAAGGAACTTAAAATCCTATCAACCACTTTAATTAATTTAGCACTACCTAATGAAGACTTTAAACAATTTATTGCAGGAGGAAAAAAGCAAAAGTTGGGGTAGAGTAACTGTTCTGAGGTAGATTTTCAGATCAGACAGAAGCTAACAAGAGCATGAAATAAAACTAGATGCAGTACTAAAGTCTGGTCCCCTGATTGAGAGAATCTCCTATTCCTATGGGCAGAGAACACTGTTAAAACCTGAGCAGACAGAGTGCTCTCGCCAAGACTTGGCCACTAATCAACGTAAGGCATCCCAGGAAACCCTTCAGTCCTAGGAAACCTATGACACACGTCACCTAGTTTAAAAAGTGAAACTTCCAAGTAAACCAAGACAATTGGTCACCCTAGCTTAATAAGTGGTAAAGAGAAAGCAATTCAAGTATTATGCACTTATGTATCAATCCTTATGCAATAAAGTCAGCTCACTGGATTAGATAATCTCTAATTTCAGCTAAGTTTAAATTTTTAAGTCTCTCACTGAAACTGGCCAAATGCATTGATGCATTTTCTTCTGACTCATCTTACATGGCCACTTGGAAGCATGATACTGATAACCACTAGTGCCTTCAGACTCCTCTCTACCAGAATACTTCATTCTCCTGCTTTTTCTAATACTTCATTACTCCTACCTCCCTAGCTGTTCCTTCTCAGTCTCTTTAGAGGGCTTATCTTCCTCTGACTGAAGAGAAAATGTTAGTGTCCCAGGGCTTAGTCCTCTACTGTCTTCTCTATTCTGTCAGCGTGACCCATTACCTTTAAACACCATTTATACCCAAATAACTCTCAAATTCCTATCTCTTACCCAGCAACCTCCCCACTGAGCTCCAGACTTTTACACTCAACTTCATATTCAACATCTCACCTGAACTTCTCAAAAGATCTCAAATTTCACATGGCCAAAAAAGAACTCTTGATTCCATTTATCTTCCTTCCCTACCGCCCTCTGCCCACTAACCTTCCCCATCTCAGGATATGGCATCACTATCAATTATAATTACTGAAGTCAAAATTAAGATGTCATCTTTGACTTCTCTTTCTCTTACTTGACAACTCCAAGTCATCAGTAAATCCTGTAAGATTTCTCATGTATATCCCAAATCCATTTTCTTCTCTCCAAATCCAATCTAACCATGCAAATTCAAACCATCATTTCTCACCTAATAACTGCTAGGGCCTATTAGCTGTCTTCCCTACTGCTGTTCTTGCCCCACTCCTCTACAATTTCTTCTTCCACAGAATAGCCAAGACTGATTATAAACACCTAGAATAAGGAATGTCTGTTCCGTGTCCCCAAAACATGAGAACAGTTTCTGCCTCGTAGTAGGCACTCAATGTGCTCAGGAATAAAAGAATGAAGTCACTCCCCAGCTTCCCCTGACACGCAGATTAGAATCCAGACGCCCCACAACGCCTAATATTATTGTCAGGCCTCAGGCCTTCCTCACCTCACAGTCCTGCTCACTAAGCTCCAGATTCACCAGAGTTCTTCAAACTTCTCAAACTCATTTCCTCCCTGGAAATTTTGTTTTTGTTCCCTCCAACAGAATGCTTCTCCCTTCATATCTTGCTTCTTCTCATCCTTCAGATAACAATGTTACCTCCTCAGCGGTCTCCCTGACCAGCCACTCAAGGAACTCTGTCCATCCTCTGCCACCTCACCAAGTCTTCTTTTCCTCTTAGTACTTAACACTAGTTGCATCATCCTGAATCATTTCATTATCTGTTTACTTACTGATCCTCTCCTCTAAACTGCAAGCTACTGCCAGGCAGCATGGTGGCTCGTGCCTGTCACCCCAATACCTGGAAGGCCCAGGCAGAAGATCACTTGAGCCATAAAGTTCTAGACCAGCTTAGGTAACAGTGAGACCTCATCTCTACAAAAAATACAAAAATTAGCCAGTAGTCCTGGCACATGCCTGTATTCCCAGTTGAGCCTGAGAGGCTGAGGCGACAGGATTGCTTGCTCCTGGCAAGTCAAGGCTGCGAGACCTATGATTGCACCACCACACTCCAGCCTGACTGACAGAGCAAGACACTATCTCAAAAAAAAGAAAAAACCTAAAAATGTTTTTAAAAGTAAAATACAAGCCCCCGTAGAGCAAGAACCTTACCTTTCTTGTTCAGTGATGTATCCCAGAGGCTAATACAATGTCTAGCACATCATATTTACTAAAAGAATAATTCACAAACATTTCTAATACCAAAGTAACAAGCACCATGCTAGGTAACAATTTTTTTCGTAAAGAAAAACAGAAAGCAAAATATTGGTATAAAAAGCAATTTGATGTTATTTTTATGTTGATCACGCCCATCCTTAAATGTTCTTACACAATAAATTGCTCTTCTCAAAATATTTTGCCAGTGTAAAATATGAAAATCCATTAGTAGTAATAATGAATAACAGGTTACTGCTTAAAAATTGGCTGGGTGTGGTGGCTCATGCCAGTAATCCCAGCACTTTGGGAGGCCGAGACAGGTGGATCCTTTGAGGTCAGGAGTTAGACACCAACCTGGCCAACATGGTGAAACCCTGTCTCTACAAAAATACAAAGCATTAAGCCAGCTGTGGTGGTTTATGCCGCTCATTCCAGCTACTTGGGAGGCTGAGGCAGGAGAATTGCTTGAACCTGGGAGGCGGAGGTTGCAGTGAGCCAAGATCGTACCACTGCACTCCAGCCTGGGCAACAGAGTGAGACTCGGTCACAAAAAAAAAAAAAAAAAAGTTACTGATTAAAGTGTCTGATGATCACACTCTTCATTTTCCTTTTTTTTTTTTTTTTGAGACAGAGTTTCGCTCTTGTTACCCAGGCTGGAGTGCAATGGTGCAATCTCGGCTCACTGCAACCTCCACCTCCTGGGTTCAGGCAATTCTCTTGCCTCAGCCTCCTGAGTAGCTAAGATTACAGGCGTGCACCACCATGCCCAGCTAATTTTTCGTATTTTTAGTAGAGATGGGGTTTCACCATGTTGAACAGGATGGTCTCGATCTCTTGACCTCGTGATCCACCCGCCTCGGCCTCCCAAAGTGCTGGGATTACAGGCGTGAGCCACCGCGCCCGGCCCCTATTCGTCATTTTCCTAATGCAAAATTTATGAAAACTAATTAGGCTATAACTCAGGAAAATACTATCCAGAAAACTTCACGTACTCATTATCTTTTCAAAGTATGTAAATACACATTTCATCCAGGCAGAAAAATCTTAACTCTCTAAACCCTTTCTGTTCACACATATAAATATTACAACATGACAATAGAGGTTATCAACTCACCATTTATTGCTTAATTTACCAGCTTCATTCAAGCCAGAAAGTGATCAATTCCAATTATTAATCAAGTTCAGTTCACAAAAGTCATCACTAAATAACTTAAGAATTGCCCCTTATCCCCCAATACCTATTATGAAGGAACATGTCCAGTTGGGTTTAGGCTAGTGTTATGTTTCATTGTTACCACAGTACTCTTGTAAGTACATCTAACTGAGAATCACAGCAGAAAACAAGATTATCTTTTGCAACCATACCAGTTATTACCACTATCATTATGACATCACTAAACACCTTAGGGCAAGCATCAACTAAGAAGTAAATGCAAGCTCAAGGCAATGAACAAATGACATTTTTTTAAACTCAAGTGTTTTCTGTAACATTTATTTTAGCACACCATAAAAGTATAATACTCTACCTCAAAACGTTTTAAGAGTTTTTGTTTCATTTTTGTTTGCTGAAACAGAGCCTCACTGTTGCCCAGGCTGGAGTGCAGTGGAATGATCTCAGCTCACTGCAACCTCCGCCTCCCAGATTTAAGCAGTTCTCCTGCCTTCAACCTCTCAAGTAGCTGGGATTACAGGCACATACCACCACACCCAGCTAATTTTTGAATTTTTAGTAGAGACAGGGTTTCACCTTGTTGGCCAGGCTGGTCTTGAACTCCTGACCTCAAGTGATCCGCCCAACTCGGCCTCCCACAGCTCTGGGATTATAGGTGTGAGCCACCACACCCAGCCTATGTTAGTATTTTTTAAAAATATTATTTATGAAAAGGAATAAACTTGGCACACTAGGTACTAATAAGAACTCAAAGTATCACTATTTCATGCTAGATTTCAAAAGCCTATAGGAAATATGCCTATCCTTTATCCAACTTGAAACCAGTATACATTTTGAATAGGGTAATCTGAAATGCAATCGACCAAATGCATAAAAAACATACCAATTGTACTGTTTTAAATTAGCCTTCTAACCACACTTGCCAATACAAAAAAAGAGACTTTTATTTGAGCTTACTAAGGAAACATAATACTCATTTTGGCTGGACGCAGTGACTCAACGCCTATGATCCTAGCATGTTGGGAGGCTGAGGCGGGTGGATCACTTGAGGCCAGAAGTTCGAGACCAACATAGCCAATATGGTAAAACCCTGTCTCTACTAAAAAAAAAATACAAAAATTAGCTGGGCGTGGTGGCACATGCCTGTAATCTCAGCTACTTGGGAGGCTGAGACTTGAAACTGGGAGGCAGAAGTTGCAGGGAGCCAAGATCACACCACTGCACTGCAGCCTGGGCAACAGAGGGAAACTCTGCCTCTAAATAAATAAATACTCATTTTATTTTGGTTTATAACAGTTACTCCATAAAGCTGAAAAATGGGAAAAGCCAAACAAAACTGAATCCTAAAACGAAGGCTAAAAGTTCAATATTTTTCAAACTACACTTATAATTCCTACTTTTTACTGCCACTTCCTTAAGAAAAGAATTTTCTCTGGTTTTTATTAAGTGGTTCTATAGCATCTTTGGTTTTTCCTTTAGTGTAGTTATATATTTGTATAAACAAACAAACCAGTTTCAGGACATCTTGAATTAATCCACATATTAAGATAAACTAATTTTAATACCAGAATTTATTTACTTATCCCTGCCTTCACACTTGTCCTCAAGACCAAAAAAGATTCCTGATAAATTTAATCAGAGCACTAGTTCTTTTTGTTTCAGACAAGTCTAATTTTAGGCCTGGAATTATTGCTCAAATTATTCAAAAGATATACTGAACAATATTTCAAAAATAAAAATTGCCTTCCAATTCTCCGGAAAAAAGATCCCTACATGATTCAACTCAGAGGTCATTATCTTGACCTTCACCATCTGCTCATTTGCAAAAGAAGCAACACAAGTTTTTCATCTAAGGTAGAACTTTTTAAAACTTTAAATTATCTAAGATAAGGTTAAATATTTATGTTTGCTCCAAAAGGGAAGAAACACAGTAAATAATTATATCACTATTTCAGCATGTAGCTGGAAAAAAAAAAAAAAAAAAAACTTTTACAAAGGCACATCCTGATTTACCAGTGGTTTATTACTGACTAACTGAGATAAAATACATGCTTTGGTACAGCTATACTGTCCAAATTTCTTAAATTTGGGTAGTATTTATAAAGTATCTTCTTTACTATATTCTATGCCACAGCAAATGTCTCTCTAGAGGCTGCAATATAACAAAGTCCTTCTTAATTTTAAACACTAAATTTAAAAGTTACTTAAAGTTACTTAACTTTAAATATTAAAATGTTTTCTTCCTCATAGAAAACAATGAAAATTGGATACTATTGTTCAGTGATATACTTCTAAACAAGCTACTATTATCACAAATAAATTTTAAGAGGTTAGATTACAAAGACATTACCGATGGCTTTTGACACTTACTGATAAATTGAAATCACTCCCTACAGCCCCTAGGGATAATGAAATAGCTTCTCAATCACTGAAGTTACTTAGATGACAGGATTTGTGAATAATCTGTAACCTGGGGAAACCTCAAAACTATGCTGTTTCCTTAGGGCAAATAGCACAGAATTTAGAAAGACTTCATTCCCTACTTAATACTGCTTTTTACTAAATTCATGCCTACATTAAATTCTATTATTTCTAAAAGTGTTGCAGGACAAAACTTAAGTGAATGATTCAATCTAACTATGGCTTTCTAAAAAATGTATATATGTCTTTTTAAAAACCACATCACAAATATCTAAACTATCACACAACTGCATTATTCGAAATTTCAATAGCCTGATATTAATGCCTTGGTTAGTGCCTGATATTTTTTTTAAATAGCAGAAAATATTACCTTCAAAAGACCCCTTTCCAAATGCTGCTTCTGCTTTTTTTTTTGTTTTGTAACTAACAGCTTTGAAACGTATACAAAAATATCTCTAAGTTACTCAAGCCGAGATCAAACACTTTGTGGAGCAGTGTTACTTAACGGGAGTCCCAGAACCAGCTAAAATTGCAGAGAAAATTTTGCTTATGTATACATGGCATTTTTTTCTACACAAAAAGTCCATATAACTCAGTTTCTCAAAAGGCCTCAAAACTCAAGATTAAAAGTGCCTGAAAGGACCATCATCGTTCAAGAACATATCACAGGCAACCCAAGACGTATTTTTTATTCCAAGTTAGGGGAGGATTTATCCTAATTTTGTGGCTCCTACACAACTTCTGAGCGACGCAAGCATGAAATGGCTGTCCGATACAAACAGCCTCCTTCAGACACCCAACGCAGCAAACCCCTAATTTTCCTCGAAGGGGCCACGGGGAAAGCCAAACGGATTCGTAACACCGTGGCTCAATGGTCCCCATTGGCTCCGGCAGGACGCTCCCTCCCCTTACGCCTGAGGGGCTGCGGGGCGGGGACCAGGTTCCCCCGAGGGGCTGAAGTTCCCCTGGGGGTGGCTGACAGGAGCGGCATCTCTGGCAGCATCCTACCTCCCCAAAACGCGCCCTAAAAGTAGCGGCAACGAGCGTGGGCACAGCCAACCCCAGGCCGCGCCTCACAGAAGTCGGGCGGGCGAAGAACTGCGGCCCCTCCGAGGCGTGCCGGAGCAGCCGCTGCAGCACGGTCGCAGCGACCTTCCCGCCCGGGTTTCCGCGAGCGAGGGGCAAGCCCCGTTATCACGCCGGTCACACACCCCACGAGCGAAAGGAAAAAGCCAAGCAGACAATAAAGCCCAACTCGAGGGGGCCCAAGCGAGCTGGAAGTTGCGGACGCTGGGGCTGTAGCCCAAGGAGGGACGGCGGGGACGACGGGATGCGGGGCGGACGCGCCTGGAACGCGGCAAGCCAGATGTCTGCCCGGGTACCAGCAGCGGGGAGGACACCGGGCGCGCTGCGGCGTCGGGGAGGCGACCCGGGGAAGACAGGCCCGAGGCGGGAGGGGAGCGGCGGCGAGGTCCGGAGGCGCCGCGGTCGGCCGTGACCCCCACCCCGCCGGACGCTGTTCCATCCCTTACCGGCAGGGAAGCTGCGGGCTCCTCCGGGGCTGTCTCGGCCGCAGGCCTCCGGGGCCAGGAAGCGCCCCCACATCGCGGGCGAGAGGGCCGGGTGGGCCGGGGACGCCAGACTCCTCACGTCCGTCGTCCTGCTTCTTCGGCGGCGGAAACTTGAGCGTGGGCCTCGGCGGCACGGACTGGAGGAAAGGCGGGTGGCTGCTTAACGGCTGCTCAGCGACAGGCGGGGAGCGTCGGGGCCAGATTCGCCGCAGTGGCGGCGGCTGCCATGGCCAAGCCGACTGGGCTGAGGCCCCGGGGAATCGGCGACTCCGCGGTGACGGCTGCTAGATCCCGGCTGAGCCCAGGCTCGAAGGCTCCAGGCGAAGTTGCAGCTGCGGGTTCTCTCCGCCCCCTCAGCCGGCTGAGCCAGAGCCCTGGCTGGGGCCGCGAGGGGGCGGAGCCTCGGGCGCTGACTTCAGGCGTGCGCGGCGCCCGCGGGGCGGGGACTGCGGCGGGTGGGTGGGTTTCCCGGACTCGGCTTCGCCTCCTTCGCTGCAGCTGGGCTGTCCCGCCATCCCGCCCTGCCGCTGCGTCCCTCAGTCTCCATCCTCCCGCCCTGCGAGTTGAGAAGAGGGCCGCAACTTGTCCTATGTTGCGATACTCGACCCCTCCCTTGGATAATCCCTCACGCTCTCCCTCCGGCCACCTCTGTGAAGACACGTTGAAGACCTGGCCCTCGCGTCACCACCGCTCGAGATGGAGGCCACGCCAGGCGCGGCTGAGGAGGTTTCCAGCCTCCCTTGGAATTAGGACTGGGATTTAAATCCTCATCTGTACTCCTTCGTTTCTAGATCACTTTAAGGAGTAGAAAAGGGATGGTTTTCCTTTACTGATTTAATGTGGGGACAACACAGGCACCAGAATATCTATAAGACAGGGATGTGCACCGAAAAAAGCTCGGGGGTAATTAGCACCCGAGGCGGAGAGGGGCCGTCATTGTAATCTAGTGGCACAACGTTTCAGATAAGCAACCAGAAAGGAGTAAAAATGGCACCAAAGTCTGTAAAGGGAGCCTCATCCTCCTTGCCCCCTACTCCTTCACGTCTTCCTGTTAGTTTCCACCCTTCGCCTGAACCCTCAGTGCAGGAGCAGATGTCCTGAAGGAGGGCGAAAAGGGGCAGCATCCTTTTGTTTTTAATCTTACTTCTCATTGGCAATATGTGATGCTTCCAACGTTTAGTTACAAAATAGTGTAATAAATACTGGGCCAGCACTGTGGTGGGAGGCAGGCTCTGCACTAGGCAGATCACTTAGAGGTAAGCCAGAACGCAGGTCACTGAATTAGAGAATCTTTGAGTTCCGTGATGCTTTTTCCTGTCTGGAATCTTGCTAAAAAAGGCCTTATATTTGCATTTTTCCTTTAAAGACACTGTAATTGGGAAATACTCCTTAAAATGATTGGAGGTTAAATTACATTTAGGTGTGTATTCTATCACTTATCACACCTGTGTTGTAATTTATCTAATTGCAATGTTACATTTAGTCTCCCTGTGGTAGTCTTCCAATTATTTCTCCAAATTATGTATTGTTGGTCAAGGGTCAGCTGTTTTTGATGATAAAAAGAAACAGGAAACAGGAAAGACTAATGTGATTGGTTCTTTTTTCTGATTTAAGTGTGCATTAGCTAATTTTATCTAACACTTGAGGAAGATAGACCTTTTTTTAAGTCCCAAAAAGAAAATTATCAGAAGCTATAGCACTATGTAAATTATACATTTTTTCATGCTTTGTAGTTACTACAGTCTCAGGAACAGAACTTTTGAAATTCATTTGTGATGCTGTTCTAAGAAGTGTATAAAACATTACAGAAATATCTTGATCTTTGTAAGTTTAAAATACACTTATTATTTCAAAACTGACAATTTCTACTTAATGCTAAACAATGTTAAAAGAAAATCATTTACTCGGGTTTTCTACATCTTTTATCAATGTAAGGGCATGCCACTACACACATACAAAAAAGTACATGTGAAGCTGAAAGTATCTAAAATATATCATTATCTATTACAGAGTAAAAGCAAACAGTAAAAACATGTTGCTTTTTTTGGTGCACTTGGCACCAAAGATAAAATTTTTGTGTCCTTAGTAATCAAACTTGGGAGGATAGAGGGCTAATGCAATTAAAATTAATTAAAATACTAAGTGAGAATATTATGTAGATAAAGTATCCATTTCTGCTAATCATATGAATTCTGAGTATATACTGAACGAATGCTTCCCCCTACATCCGTGATACATGAATGACATATATATGGGAGGATACAGCCATGGTTTTCAGAATGATTAAAATGTACCATAACACAAGTTGGAGAACCTAATGACTACCTAACCATTACTAAACCCCATGTGGTAAGCTGGCATATTTTTGTTTTGTTGTGACAGTATGTTAGGACTACAAGGAGAATCTTACAAGCAAAGACAGTTATCATTGAACCTCAGTAAGCCTCAATCTTGGCAGTTGTTCTGTGCAGAGATAAAAGAAGTAAGTAATGAAAATAGTGAGTGACTCTATGTGTGTGTTTAAGTGTGGTTGGTCAGACAAAATTAGGATATTTAATGTTTTGGGACGGGACTTTTTAAGAAAATAAACTAGATCACAAAAGAAGAAAATAGTACTAAAAATGCAATATTTACTACCAACTATATTAAACTCTGTTTAAAATGCTTCACTTCAAAAAAAGACATTATTTAAAAGTGAAAAATAAATGTTGCATTTATAACTCTTAAATTTGTATATAAATATTTGCAGTGATTAAATTGAGCTATCTTACATGTGTTTTTCTGATTCAAACTTATCAGATTGTGCAAATGTCGACTACAGAACTGAAGAGGGATATAACAATGGACAAAAGCGATATTTTAAAATTAGAAGAGCCAGGTACAGTCACTCATGCCTGTAATCCAGTGCTTTGGGAGACCAA